TCCATGCATAGATATAAAATTTAATTTTATATTAAATTGAACAGTGAATTTAAGTTGATTTTTTATTTTTAAAAAATATCGAATAAGTCACGCAAAAAAAATTGAAAAATTACCAAAATTATATTAAAAAAAGAAAAAGAAAAGTTAAATATGTGTCCCTAAAATTAATTTATTAATATTATTTTTCGATTATAAGTTAAAAAGATATTGGGCCGGCATGTTTGTTAAGGCCCAATGGACCGAAATTGCATCTACCCACTGTGATTAATAAACATTTTATTAAAAAAAACAACTATTTTTTAGAACAAAAGAAACTATTAATAGCAATAATTATTATGTATGACTTTTTCAATACTTTATTTATTTATTTTTATTTTTTAAAATTTACCTCTCCAATAGGTTTTTTAAAAATTTAAGAAAAGTATATTCAGATAATTGTATTTATTAAAATATGAACCCATTAAAATTTATATGGTGAATTGAGAACTTAATAAGAATTGGTTTGTTTGAGATTTTTTTTTTGTTTTTGTTTTTGTTTTTTTTTTTTTGCAAATTTTAAAATCACTCATAAATATATTCTTAATTGTTTAAAATTAATTTTAATTAGGTAAAAATCACGTTTGAAAATGTAAAATCAAAATTTAAATTGATTTAAATAATTAAATAGTGGTTTTAAACTGTTAACCAATTTTAAAATAACTTTTAAACATATCCCAAGACTAGCTAGTGAAACAAATTCATGGAAGTTATTTTTTTTCAACCTTCAATTTTCCTTTTATTATTATTTATTTTATTTAAAAAATTGAGAACCATCAACTATTGATTTTTTATTTTTTTTTAATTCAACACTAATATTTACCATTCAAATTGGTAAATTTTCACATAATTTTTAACAAGAGGATAAAATGGAAACCTACGGGAAGAAATTCTCATGTTCCACCTATTTTTTATAATCCAACGTGAACATAGCTCAAATAAATAAAATTAACCACCAGACGTATGAAACTAAAAAAAGAAAAAGTGAAAGAGAGAAAACAATATAGATTTTTTCCATTTTCGACCATCAAAATTTTAATGACAAACTTACCGAATAGTGACTAAGGTAAATATTGTTGGAGAGAGAAAAAGAACGAAAGAAAGAGACTAGAGAGCGGAGGGTAGATGAGATGAGATAGGGTCAGGGTCAGGGCAGTGTCCTTGATGTGTTACATATATTTGACTATGCTTTGACTGTATAATATATGTTATTTATATATGTGTACATATATAAGTTTTGACATAAACTTATAATATATGATGTATATATATATATATATTGTGTAATATAGGTCTATTTATATACATATATTCCATTCTGTGAAGCTGACACTGGCACCCCAATTTGAATGCCACAAGACAACCCCACAAAAACACACTAACCACTAAAACCAAAACCAAAACACCATCCACTCTGCTGTGGTCCATCTCCATGAGGAGGATGAGAAAGATTCCCCAAAAATTTTGCACAAAACCATCCAATCAGGGTAAATTACAGATTTTTTTTTTAAATTATATAATTTTTTTTAATTATTGTCGGGCATATCGTTGTCAGCATCACAGTAGGATAGGGGAGATTTTTATAAGAAATGTTTTGGTCTGTGATCTCATAAGTTGAGTATCAATCAAGAGATTAGAAGTTTGAATTCTCTCACTGACACGACAGTGGATGAAAAGAAAAGGTAATTGCACTTTTTTCTTTTGGTATTCGTTCGACCATTATTCTATCTCTTTCGTTTTTTAGCGAGCAACAAAAACAAAAAGAGAGAAGAGATTAGATTCCGTCTTTGACCTCTCCTTTTCTTGAGTGTGTCGGGAGAGAAGATGAGAGAAATTCTCTTACTATACAAGAAATTATTGGCGAATTCATCCCAATATAATTAATAAATTTTCAGAAAAATTACAAAACCTACTTCACTAATAATTTCGATACGTGAAATTTCTCAAATTCAATTAAAAAGTTATTTCGAACAGATTTGAACCATATCGAACGAGAGATTTGTTTTGTTTTGTTTTTGGTATGAATATCTATTCAGCAGAGAAAGGCGTAAGTAATGATATCATGACCTCTCACTTTCACGTATAGCGTTCCCTTTTTCTGTGCGGGCTCAGCCCTGGGCAGACGTGTGCGCTTCGCCCTACCTCTCCTATCAGTATCATACCCACGCTTTGCTTACCCTTGCAGTCACTGGCATAACATATAACCAACTCATACTCATTGCTTCAAATCCCATTCCTTTAGTCACTTAATAATAATTTTATTTGAGAACTTTTGAATTTATTTTAAATTGAATAAATAAATTACTGCTCTCTCATTTTAATTTATACAACCCTCCAACTTTAAAGGTATAAATTATTATTTATTAATACTAAATTATTTATTTCAAACATGGTTAATAACGAACGGTTTATTTTTATATTATTATTATTAAAAAAAATTGAAAAAAATTATTTTTTAATTTTGGAAGTAAAAAACAGAAAATGTGTGGGCATCGGGTAAAATCCAATTATGCTTGAAAACATTAAGTAGACCAAAGAATAAGTTAATAAAATGACAAGAAAAAACAGGTTGTTAATGAGACAAATAAAAAACATTTTTATTTTATTTTATTTTTTCATTAAATAATTTAATTTATTATTATTTTTCTCTCTCCCTATCGGCAACCTGTTTCCATTGGACTCTACAGCCTGTGTGTCGGTTAACTTTATGTCCAAATTCGCAGAAATTTGTCTTCTCATCTCTTTTGTCTTAAAAAACATAACACATTACATTATCCCTTCATCCATTATTATTATTAATCTTTTAATTTTATTTCATTAAGCATTTCCACCTATTTTTCAATAAAATATAATATTAATAAGCTCCAGAATTTCTTAAAATAATAAAAATTTAAAGTTTTTCGTACAATCACAGAAATATTAGCTTAATCGATGGAGAGATATTAATATATTTTTTTTTTATAAATCTTATTTTAACGGAGGATATGAAATAACACGATCCTACAGTGGAATACCGTAACTAATACGCAATAATTATTTGTAATGTACTATTGACAAACTGTTCGGTAAAAAGAAAGAACGCTAATTTTTATTCTTTTTTATTTTTTTTGAAATAGATATAATTGTTCGAGTTGAAATGTCAGATAAGAAAATTTACTCCAACAAAGACAGTTACCGGATAAAACGGTGCATTAATTCAAACATGTGGGAGCCATCAAACTATAGATATAAATCATTATGAATTAATGATAGAGAAGCGTTTATATATAGATAGATATATCCTTTCATAAGTAACTACCTCGAACGGTAGCTGTAAGCATCTACGTCGTGAACGTAGTTTAATTTTAGTCTTTTAAAATGTTTAAATCCTTCGTTAAAATTTGAAACGGTAAAGTTTTCACGAGATTCATAGTGTTAAGTGACCATATGATACATGTAATAGGTAGGTTATTTTGGTCGATAATACATATTTTACGTCTGTTGAGATAAATTATATCATTAAAATAATAACAAGATACTGATTTAACATATATCTATTTGATAACTTCAGATAAGTTCAGGGTATAAAATAATTAAATTGTTCGGTGCGTAATCAAAATAATCATGTCACCTTATTATTATTCTATTGGCAATATCAACGACATAAACTAAAATCAAAATATAACCTAAAGTTTTATCGACACATACCCCCATTAGATATCATATGGTAAAGCACCGATGAACATCCCATGTCACCATTTCGTTGATAATATTAAATATAATAAAAACATATGTTTTTCATCGAGAGGTCAGAGATTTGAATTTCTTTCTAACACGATGAACTAAAAAAATTAAAACTCGACAAAGTCCTCAAACTCTCGGAGGCAACTCAATTCATTAAAGCACGATCAAATGCTAGAATCTCCACTCGGCTCCGCCCGTAAAAAATGAAATTTTTTACATTAAACCATAATGTAAGAGACTTATTAAAATGTAACACATATAATATAAGCGTGCGATGAGATGAGATGAACGGTGGCCGATGAACAGAAAAACACAGATTTTCTAATTTCTATGGCGTGTGTCAGTTCATAACAAAACTCTTTCATCTTTTTATCTCTCTACAAAAAAAAAAAAAAAAAAAAAAAAAAAAAAAAAAAAAAAAAAAAAAAAAAAAAAAAAAAAAAAAAAAAAAA